TAATGGTTATCCATGACTAGATTCAGCTGGAATGCTGAATAAATGCTGATGCATTTTAGCCCTCTCCTGTGGGAGCAAGTGGTGTTAGGTGGCTTGCTGTCCTCACCAAGTAATACTTCAGCCTTTTCACTGTATATTCATTATTTGTTTGAGTAGGGAAATACTTGCAGACCATGCACATGCTACGCATCAAAATTTCTCCCAGTTCTGATTTCTTTACACTGTATTAGATCATCTGAAGATAAAAAAATCTTCTCCTGAGGCTTTAACAGAAAGCAAATTTACTGCTTTTTGAAATACTTACTGAAATATAACAATAACTAACAATCCTAATATCTACATTCAAAATCGGAACTAGGAAAGCCATAATATGTACACGAATAGATCCTATGTTAACCTGAGACTTGTATGTTCTGTCAGTTAAACTTCAACTTAAAAAGACCCTTCATAGTTAATCTAAGCTGCATGCCTCTTTTTGTATCCAGTTATATTGTTAATTAAAAGTAGTATCATCACCATTTTACATAGGAAAAAAAGCATCACTTTTCTGTCCTCCAGGCAGTTTCTAGTAAAAGGATATTAGAATTCCTAGATAACCAAACCTTTATCAAATGCTTAAGTACTAATTAAAATTTACACCTAAGCAAGTAAAATTAAAAAAAAAAAAGATAAACACTGCCAGCTGGTAAGGAAGTGGCAGGAGTTGGTACAAACTGGTGTCCCTGGCTCTGTTACCTGCGCTGTGTGTGTCTGGTCCAGGACCCTTCACTTGCAGTCACATCTGCCCACCATTATCAAGTTGACCTTATCAAGTTCTCTGTGCTTGATAAAATGATGTTGTGATATTAATTGTTCAAGACTCCAAATACGTAACTAGTGAAAGTCATAGGATTAATATTTTCTTTAAACTAGGGTTTTCATGGTTAGGTCTTATAGCCCCCCAGAAACTAAAGTACTGTCCCTTTCATTGGAAGGAAAAGTTGTTTCTCGATGGTTAGGAAATTTATTAGGTTCCTTCATATTGAGAATGTACAGGTGGTGCGGCACATGGAGTGGAGGAGAGACCTTACTCTTAAGATGATCCTGAGTTTGATGCCCACCTCTGTCACTTGGGTATATCGCTTGATCTCTGATATCCGTTCTTTCTATCTAAAACAGAGATGAGCCTGAAATTATTGAAGCTGAATGCCATAATACTTGTCAGGTCCAGTTGTTCCTGCCCGCTAAGAGGTGTAAACATAGGAATAGTTCTGGTTACTTTTCCTGAGAAACTGAGAGAAGTGATAAGTTTCGGTATCTTGAAAGTACCCTTCTATCAGCAGTCTCGTGTGTTTGCTAAGAACCTGGGGACCAGAGTGAGTAGAAATTCTGTCATGGGACCCATGACAGCCAGCCCTAGAATTAATCCTTTTAGCTTAGAAAATAGCAGGGTGTTCTGTGGTCAGGTGCTCATGTGATGAGTCCTGGGGGCGACAGTGAGGACATTCAGGGGGACACATCAGAACTAATCTGCTGACCTGGAGCAGGATTCCTGGCATGTGGAGGGGCAGCTTCCGCCCAGAGTGTATCCTAATTGGGGAAGGGCTGGGTCGCAGGGTGAGTCGGGCAGTCTAGACATCTTGTCCTGGCTGCCAGCCTGTGCTTTTACTCCCTGGGGACACAGCATACCACCAGACTATTAAGGAATTCTGAAGCTTTTGGACTTGGCATAAGTACACATAAAGGTCAAATTGGGGCACTGCATTTTTAGCTAATACCTAAAGAAGGTCAGTTGTGGGCTTGCAAGGCTGTGGCTGCCGTTGTCACCATTGGCCTTTCTTGATTCCCCAGTGCTTGTGGCTATTTTGGGGGAGACTTCAGTTCTGCTGCCTGACTTTGGGCAGATATCCCTGCCCCTTCTCCCCCATGACTTTTGGTATTTGCTCTCCTAGGCAGGACAGACAGCAAGTTTGTGTGTTGTAGATGAACAAACAAACAAAAAAAAAGACAATACCTTCAAAGACACTTTTTATGTAAATAATTCAGAATTATGCAAAGGCTACTTTAGTTAGCTTTTCTACATCCACTGTTTTGGTTAAATGAAATTACTTATTTTAGGTTTGTTTTCTTGGTAGTCTTAAAAGTATACCCAAAGATTAAATGAAGAACAGAGGGATCACACTGTTTTCAAGTCTCTGGCATAACTGGTATAAAGATATTTTGTTGTTCTAAATCGATTTAGTTTTCTGGAAAGCAAACTAGCTGAGTGCAACCAAAGCTATAAAATTATTCATAGCTTCTCTCACCCCTGGCTGGTCAATTTAGGATTCCATCCTAAGGAAATATCTTCTCCCTTAGAACAAAGGAACTAAAATAGACTTTGCACAGAGCTGTTTTTCTCACCCCTTATGACAGTGAAAATGTGTGACCTACTCAAATGTAAGCCTAAAAGAGGGGTGCAGCGAGTCTTTAGTAATGATGCTGCATGTTGTCCCAGTGGAGAAGGGGATGATGGAGAAAGGCTGCACCCCGATAGTATACTCAGAGCCTGAAGTTCTTTACACACCCCTCATCCCTGTCTTAGCTGTAGCTCCTTATTGCTTACCCAGATGCTGTGTCCTGGTGGCTTCAAACTTGAGCCGTAAGGCTGTCTTGATCAGCTTGGAAGACAAATCAGAACAGTGTAAACAGTCATGTTTGTTTACTGCTTTACAGTTTGTTACCTTATAAAATTGCTTAATTTATATAAAAATAAAAGAATTTTTAACACAATAGTAGTTCTTTTAAGTTCTTGATCTATGTTCATTTGTTATTTAGGAAAACAAGCAAAGTATTTATAGGCTTGTAAGTACCTTAGCATCTGCTGTCTCTCAAAAGAGCAACAATAGCTTTATTTTCTATCCCAGACTTGTTTTTTTATTCCTAGAGTTTCTGGTTAAAAAATGTTCCTCCTTCTGTACCACATAGAGATTTTATTTAAGCCAAAGATTTCAAACAAGCATTTCCAGTTAGTGGAAAATAATGCTTGTGGCCGGCTATGTGCAAAAGATTCAGTAATGCCCATGACCGCTCATCAGAGAGTGGCAGGAAGGGCAGTTGAGGGCCCTGTGCTTTGTATTTGTACCCACTTATGTATTTGCATCTGTGCCCACTGCATTTGCCTACTTGGGCACACTTGCTGCTTCTCTTTGTCTAAAATGACTGCTTTCAAAACTTTCATTTTGATGTGCCAGAGTCGATCTGGAAGCCAGGAATAGGTTTAGTGGGATGGGTCAGCCTCAAGGTCAGTTGTTGGCTGGGCGGCTGTCGCTGAGGCCAGACCAGAAAGGCCACGCATCTACTCAGCTCGTGGTTGTTGGGCCCTTGGCACATGGGCCTCGCCCGCCTGCCTGTGTCCTCACAGCAGGGCAGCGGTATTCTGGAGTGAGTGGTTCAGAGAAGAGATGAAGACCAAGCTGGAAACAGTCGTCTTTGTTTTTCATTGGAGTAGCATGGTTTATACCACATTATATATGTTATATATGTGTTTCTTTGTGAATTAACATTGTATGCTACAGTATGTTCCCTGCTAAGCCTAGTTTCTATTCTTCTCCATACAATTGATATCTTTTATCCAAGTTACCCCCCTTTCTTTTCTGATAACCACTGTTTTCTTATGAGTGAAATCAGTTTGTCTTTATCCATCTGATTTATTTTACTTAGTGTAATTTTTTCTGGGTTCCTACTGTTGCACATGGCAAGCGTTCATCTTTTTGTTAAATAACTGAATAATAATCTTTATCTAGTTGTGGGTAAATGGGCACTTGTATTGTTTCCAGCTCTTGGTTATTATGAATAATGCTGTGGTGAATTATGGGGGTGTGTCTATCCCTTTGAATTCATGTTCATAGGGTAAATACCCAGAAATGGGATAATGGATCATATGGAATTTCTATTTTATTTTTTGATGAACCTCCATAAAGAAATAGTCTTTTTATTTTTTTTAACCTAATCTTAGAATCAGTTCTGCTCTATTCTAGGGCCACAGAGACCAATTCAGTTGGTACTGTGGGGAGGGGTCTACACAGAGTGCGAATCTTGAGCTGAGCACTGTTAACCCTCTTGGAGTCTTGTGGCTTTCCTGTTCCTATGGGGTTTTCAAGGAAGAAATGTCCATGAATGGGTGTCAGTCATTAAGAAGGGATTCTGGCCCTCCCTGGTGGCACAGCAGGTTAAAGCACAGCACTAAGAAGCTAAAGCCACTTCAGCTTGAGTTCGATTCCTGTCCCGGAGGTGATCCACGTGGCTCAGCAGACTTTTCCTGACCCACCTGCTGCTCCTCTCAGCAGTTTACTTATTCAGTCAGCCTGTTCTGCTCCCCACTCTGTCTCTGGTGAATCCTCTCACTGTCCCTGTTCTTCTGGCCTGTACCCCAGTTCTGTATGCATAAATAAATGAAGTTTTTAAAAGGAATTCTAAAACTTAAAGGGCAAAATCCTGCTTGCTATTTTTTTTAACTTTTTTAGAATATCTTTTAATTTTCACTTATTTTTTCTTTCCCTCATATTGAAGGTTATGAAACACACAGGTATCTGCCTATAGTAGTTACCTCTTCCCAGAAGATAGAGAGTCGTATATGACTCAGAATTGATGTGGGCTGGGGGAAGGTAGTATTAATAAAAAGAGTTCCCAGGCCAGTTGTCTTATTTCTTTCACACCTGAGGCATTTGGGCCCTACTTTTTTCACCAGGTGTACAGAAATATAAAGCTTAGTTATGTTAGAACCAATTCTAGAGTGGGAACAATTGTCAGAAAAACTGGAGGGCTCAGGGAATTGAATTTGCTGGATGCTGCCCTCTCCACAGGAGTCCTTCCAGATTAGTTTGCTAATCAGTTGTTCCATGTGGATTGTGTGACTGACTTCCAAAGTGTAGTTCACTCACCTTGGTATGACTGTTGGTTGGTGAGTGATTGGGACGAGGGCCTCTGGGCTTTGTCTAATGTGACTCTACTGTCCTAATTTATGTCTTTGTCACCTGCAGGCAGGTTCCAGAAGTGGCTCTGAGTATGGAGTGTGTGTCATCGATGAGATTGGGAAGATGGAGCTCTTCAGTCAGCCTTTCATTCAGGCTGTTCGTCAGACACTGTCCACCCCAGGGACTGTAGTCCTCGGCACCATCCCAATACCAAAAGGAAAACCTCTGGACCTTGTGGAAGAAATCCGAAACAGAAACGACATTAAAGTATTCAATGTGAGTACAGTTGAAACTGAGCAAACCCAGGGGACCTGGGTTGACCCAGGCCTCACCCATGTGCTTAAGAATGCAGAATTCCCAAAGCAGTCAGAAACAATAACAGTGTTTATTCATATGGGGTGAAGAAAAAGAAGAGGAGAGAGAGAGAAAAAAAGAACAATCTCACAGGCCACTATGTGGCCAGGTACTGTCTCTGTCCTTCCCCAGACAGCATAAAGAAAGCCCACCTGTGTGGTGAGCTGGTGACCCGTCCACAGACACCCCTCCTCACCAGTGGTTTAACTGCCAAAACTCCAGTAGCTTGACTGCTAAAAGCCTTAATTAGCTTTGCCGGTTTTCCCATGAACCCACACTCAGGAGGGTGGACACTAGAAAGCTCCACCTTCTACCAGTGAGGTGGCTGTGAGCGCCACCCAGTGGCTCAGAGGTTGCTCCTTACTCTTCCCCTTACACAGCCAGTCTCCCATAACTGTCAGCTCAGCAGCTCTGCCTGTCTGCCTCTGCTTCCCCCATCAGACTTGCCTAGCAGCGGGTTCTCTTGCCTAACCCAATCTCTCCCTATGGTATGACCATGTTGGGATGTAGGAGAGAAGAGGCTGTGATTACAGTTTTCAGCAGAGCTTCCAGATACTGGAGGGTAGCTCTGTCCAATAGTACCTTACATAGTCATGGAAATGTACTGTCTGCGTTGTACAAATGCAATAGTCATTAGCTACATGTGTGTCTTTATCTTTCATTTAAATAAAGTTACATTAAATTAAGTGAAAAATTTAGTTTCTTGGTCATCTGGCTATATTTCAGGAACTCAGTAGCTACATAAACAACACAGTCTTGCTACCCGCCTCACTCAGGAGTTTGAAAAAACATGCAGTGCTATAGGCCCACCTTGACTTAATGAGTTGGATTCTCTGGCCAGCGGCCCAGTAATCTTTTAATCTGTTTAATCAGCTCTCTAGTGAGTTTTAGGCCCCTTCGAGTTGGAGAAGCCTGCTGGGAGACCATGTGTGACAGTTGAGTAGTTCTGTGGTATTAACCAGTGGTGCTGTCTGAGCAGTTGTAAGGGTCTCTGCTGACACTGTACTGAAACATTTGCCTTTTTCTTCCCTGTTTTTTCTGTCCTTAATTAGATATTGTCTTGTTTTCCTCTACCTTAGATTTTTGTATCAGTGATATAAATATCACATATAAGTATCCTTGACTGAGTACTGCTCACATCCCTCATGCCTCTTCTCTGCCCCTGACACTCTCTTCCCCCTCCCTCCCTTTCCATACTTCCCCCCAGTTTAAAAGCTCACTTTCCTTGCAAGTGCCAAGGAAACTGACTAGTCAGTCTGGTAAAGTCATTCCTGTCAGGACAAGTAGGGAGTGAACACTAACAAAAGTACCAATGAACCTGACACCACGGCCTGCTGAACTTAGTGGGACATCCATATGCCATCACCACAGTGTTATGGGGTACTTTGAGGAAAATAAATAAACATTAGAGTTAGAGAAGCCTGACTTGGAAGAATGTGTTTCTGTGTAACTTCATTTATTCTTTCATTCATTTGGTAAATATTGTTCCATAAATGGTGTCATTCTAAGTCTTGGTGATAAACAAGACTGGTCAAGTATTTGCCTTCATGAAGTGGACATTAGTATCAGGACCAGAAAACAAAATCTAAGCAAACATGTAAGAAGATGAGGCACATATACATGATGGAAAGCTATTCAGCTGTAAAAAATGAATGAGCCCTTGCCCTTTAGACTACATGAATGGACCCAGAGGGGATAAACCAAGTGAAATAAGGCAGAGGAAGAAAGACAAAGACCAGTTCATTTCACTCATGTGGAATATAGAGAAATAACACAAACTGACAGAGCAAACCCTAGAAATATCACTGCAGAATTCAGGCTGCTACAGAGGGAGTAAAGGGTTGTGGAAACAGAGTGAGGAGGGACCCAGTGGTGTAAGTACAGGACAGTGGGTGCGATGTTGTTGGCTGGAGTGTGGTGACATACATCTGAGGAGGTGTGTCCCCATTTCCCCCAATCACACCGTGTTGCAAACCAGTGCTATAAACAAACAAACTACTAAACTAAACTTCTGTGCTCTAGGAAATAGGAATAAATGTTTGTAAACCAGCTATCTGCCAACAATAAGAAGGAATGAAGTAGTGATAAACACGCTACAGCATCAAGGAGTTGCTGAATCTGCATTATGTTCAGTGAGAGAAGCCCATCACAGAGGTTACATATTGTATAATCCCATTCATACGTTCAGAACAGGCAAATTTTTAGAGACAGAAAATAGTGGTTGTCAAAGACCTGGGGGGAGGAGGTGGGAAGATGTGCAGTGAATGAGAATGAAGATGATGGGAGTGGTGGTGGAAATATTCTACGCAGAGGATTCTGATTGCATAATTGTGAACATAATAAAGCCCCCTGAATTATGCCCGATTAGGGGTTGAAGTTTATGGTATATGAATTATGTCTAAATTAAACAATTTTCTGTATACAATTTTCCTTCTTCAGGGAGATGTGGTATGGTGGCTTCAGTTCTGGGTTTTGAAGAAACCCAAGTAATTCTTAGTTTAGAAATTTCCACTCTCAAGAAAAAGTAGGATTCGTGAATGATCCTAGGTTCAAAACAGACTAAAGATAACTTGCTGTATGTTCACAATAATAAACAAAGTATTGTCACATTCATTCTTTTCGTAATCGCTTAGAAACTTTTGTGGCTCCTTCCCACAGTTTCAGGGAAATGAGGGTGATTTTGTTTTACTTTCTTGCACAGTATATATTCAGAGAGGCATGTTTCCCTCTGTCCGGATGTTTACAGCTGTCCTGAATTTATGGCCAGAGTTTTTAACATTGGACTCATTCTTGCATCTTTCTGGGTCCCCTGGAGGCACAGAGCAACTTGGATGCTTAAGATGATCAGTCTTTGTAATCTTTATCCACTCAGCTGTAAAGACCCCCCTCAGCTTAGAATTTAATAAACATTTATCAAGTACCCACTCTGCCTGAAGAGACGAATAAGATGCAGTTCTGGTCCCGCCCTGTCCCCATGGAGCATGGGGTCTGTCTAATCTCTTCTCCACCCGCAGAACGCTGGGTTACCCCTCTCCTGCAGCCTCTGCATCAGGCAATTCACTGGACTTTCCCTCTCCTAGGGCTACAGTGCAGAAGGGAGGGGACAGGGCAACTTTGTTCCTTTCTGCAGCCTTCCTTGCCTCCTTTTAGAGTTCCCAACCCCACTTTCCTTGTTTTATTAGCCACTCAGGAAAGACTTTCTAAGCCCAAATTGTGGTGACCGAATAAAAAGTAACCTGGAATTTTACAGAAAGGAAAGTGTCCCTGAGGTTGACGGATGATGCTTACTCTTGTCTTTGAGATACAAAAATACTGACACGGTAGTCGTTTCGCATAGACATCTCACTGCATGCTTTTCAGAAATAATCTTAGGGAGGTAACAGGCGGGTAGCAAAATATTAATGGTATTGTGCATTCTGTTCTCTTATTTTTAATGAAAATATGTTCTGAGGATGTCTTTTCCAGTTCTTCTATTTATTCTTTTCATGTCCAACTGAGGCCTGAAAAATGTGTTGGGGGCAGTTGGCACTGTTCCTTCTGTACCACCCTTAGCCCCCAGCAGTTACTGAGGAGGAAGGGAGGTGAACTTGGCAGGGCGAGGACTGCCTCACCAGGACCCCTGGGTGATGCCCATCAGCCTTTGGCAAGCTCTTGTCTTCTTGTGCGTAGTCTTGTGTGAAACAGGGATAATTGCCACAGGCCCAGTGTGAAACTGAAATGAAACAAGATAGGGTCTTCAGAGCTCTGTGTCGAATCCAGGGCTGTAGCGTGAGTGTGATGTTTTTGTTGACCGAAACATCTCCCTGCAGTGTGGCTGAGGCTGCGTGGCGTGTCAGGGCTGTTTGGACTCCTGTTTCATTATCTCTGATGCCTCGTACCAGTTAAATCGGATTTCTCACAAGCCTTGGCTATGCCCCCTCTCATAGTTGGTATTGTGGGTAATGGAGTTTTCAGCCTTCTCACCCTTGGCTTCCCTTCATATACCCCCAAGCCATTCCATCACAGGATTTAGGGAGCTGGATAAAAACAAAGACTTGGTAATGACTCATAGGAAGAGAGCTTCCCTTTTTCCATCTTCATTGCAGATGGCTGATTCTGTTACTGTAAATTACAGCTGGTATAATTTACATTTACAGTGGGGCAGCAGCAGAAGTTCCCGTGCAGAACTGGTAAGGTCAGGTAAAGGCTCAGGATCCACCTGTTGCAGCTCCTGTTGATAGTGGGCTAGAGAAGTGTCTCCCTCAGGAGGCAATGACTCCACTGACCCCAGGGAGCACTGACCCCAGGGAGCAGTGACTCCGGGAGCAGTGCTATGCTCCCATCACTCCCCCTTGCAATTTAGGGTTAATTCTTCCATCTGGAAGGAATCGGTGTTTCCTTCCCTTCTTCCTCCCTTCCCCCACTTCTGTTTTGCTCTTCTTCCCTCTCTACATCCCTCCTCTCTGTTCAACAGCTTGCCCTTTGCCTTTTAAAGGAGGTGAAAATAAATCAGTGTTTAGAGAAAAGGAAGTGACCCCAGATATCCTTCATCTCTGAAGTTTCCACTTGAGGAGTACCATGTACTCACAGACTCCAAAGGCAGAATCGAGTGGCTTCTTGGTGAAGTCAGTGTGGAGGGCGGGCAACCCCGGGCTCAGGGTCACGCTGCCTGTCCTTTTCCACTTGTTGCTGAAGCCACATGTGTCTCCCCAACCAGCCTTCTGAGTTCCATCACTGCCTACTTTCCTCCTCTTCGCACCAGGATTTCCTTGATTGCAAACAGCAGACATGGGCCTTAGTTAATTTAAGCAAAGTACCTGCGGAGAACTTTCTAAGATGGTGAGGTTTCTCTTCCAGCAGAAGGCAAAGCTGATATTCTTCATTTCACTGGCGCCCCAATGGCCCGGGAGTGATGTGGCTAGTGGATGGCGTCCTCAGACTGGGGATTGTCAGGGGGTCAGCCTCAGCCCTTTGCTGCTCTGCACTTCTTTCAGAATTCGTATTCTTGGGGAGCTTTCCAGGGCCCAGTTCGTACTCCTTACCCAAGGGCTAGTTTCCTAGTTGATTGCCTCCCAAAAGAAACTCTCATAAGGAGGAGTGGATGCTGGAGAACACAAAGTGGTGAATGGTGCTATGCACTTAATCATCAGACGTTTATTTGGCACCCACTGTGTGCCAGGTGTGGTCGGACTCGGGTGTGATGTGTACAGGGATTAGGCCCTTTGCTCCCAGAAATATAGGTGTGGATTCTGGCCAGTGAGTGGGGTGCTCTTAGTGAGTCCAGCTGCAAGGCAGCCCTACTCCTGGCTTCTCAGCCACCTCCTCTGACCTGTACCCCATCTTCCAGCCCAGAGGGTCTCAGATAAGACTCAAGTCATAACTCCTTTCATGGTGAAAATCCACTGTCTTCAGAACCTCCTAGCACACTTGAGGAGTGGTTGTTTTTTAGCAGCTGGTGTAGGATTTCAGCAGCCCCATCCTACTCTTTAAAAAAAAAAAAAAAGATTTATGTATACATATAAGAACTGGGGCTCAAGCGGTGAGAGGATTCACCAGAGACAGACTGGGGAGCAGAACAGGCAGACTGACTGAAACACTGTGAAGGGGAGCAGCGGGCGTGTCAGGAGAGATCTTTTGCGCCATGTGGGTCAGCTCTCTGGCTGGGGATCGAACTCATGCTGCAGTGGGTGCAGTAGTTTCATAGTGCTGCGCTTTAACTTGTTGTACCACTAGGGAGTGCCCTGCTTCTTGCTCTTGAACTGGGCTTCCTCATGGGCCTCCAACATACCTCACATCTGCTGGCCTCCCAGACTCTTCTTTCAGAATATTATCAGTGGATGGAAGAGAAAGGTAGCAACTCTGAAGCCCTACCTCTTGCTTCCTCCCACAGGTCACCAAAGAAAACAGAAACCACCTTTTGCCAGATATTGTGACGTGGGTACAGAGCAGCAGGAAGTGACAGATTGCATTCCTGGTTTCCGGCACGTGAAGAAATGTCTGTTCGAGAGGTGCCCATTCAGTGGCCTGTCCAGCTTTTATGCCTGTGGGTCTATGAAAGCTTGTGGGCTTTGCCAAAGGAAACCTGACAGCTGGTTTCCATGAAATGTTTAAAAGATCAAATTAGCCTTAATGTGAGATTGACTACAAGATCAGCAATCCATTGTGCCTTATTTATGCCCAGAGATTTCTGTTTATTTCCTCTTGCAGTTGTGCGTATGATTGGGATAAATTACAACATGAAAAATAGTTTTCACAGTATTAGACAGGATTGCCCCCTTGAAGTTTATGAAAGTGCTCAGGAGGAGGAGGCCGGAGACCTCACTACTTAATCAACTTTGCATGTCATGAAAATGAGATTCCTCTCCAGATGCAGTGTAGTCTTATGCAAATAACAGTGATAACAGTTACTTTGTTTCAAAAGAACGCCATTTCAGATTTTCCCCTTACTGTTTATGTGTTTACTTATTGCCTAATAAACTGAGGAGGAATATAACGGTGATTGGCAGAGTTCTTCTGTGGGAGGGACAAACAAGTGTTTAGAAATGTCCACAGAGTTGGACATGCAGAACATGCAGCCCCCTCTTTGGCCACATTCCCTTAGACATATACCTCATTTCCCTCCAGCCAAAGGGGCAATTGAGTGTGATCTGAGTAGGTGAAACCACACATGGAAGGAAGCGGCTACCTGCCCTCTGCATGGCCCCTGCAGAGTGCCTGATGTCGGTGTCAGACCAGGCTGTCAGGAGGTTCAGCCTACAGCAGGTCAGTACAGAGAAGACTTCCAAGACTCCAGAATTCAAAGAGGATAAAAAGTGACCTCTTCGTAGTGATAAGGTCAATAATCAGTGATTTTAGGGCATTTTTTATTAACTATGAATTTTTAGGATATTTTAGTAACTCTCCTTAGATACAAACCCAGCTGGAGTGCCCGTCAGTAACCATGGCCATTCCCGCCCTGTGTGGAGTGAGGTGAACTGTGGGCTAGTTCCTGGACACAGAGAGTGCAGGGAGCTCTCCCAATTCTGCACCAAGACAGGGTCTGTGGTCCTGATAGGCTCTTAGGTTAGTGTTGCCTCAGCTCTTTATCCCAAGGTAAATTTATGAAGCTTGAGCTGGATTTGCAAAACCTTTAAGGGATCACAACTGGAAGGCCTAATAGATCATGAACAAATCTTTCAAAAGGGTGACTGTCCTATATGACAAAGAGGCATCTCTTTCCCACTGCCCCTGGCAGGTTGGGTTCTTCAGAGGGGCTGAGTTCATGATGCCTGGTAGCCCCTGTGACTTCACCATTCACTGGGACAGAGGAGCACTGAGCACCAGAATCCGTGAGCTTCCTGTGGAACAAGCACTGCCTCTGTAGTGGGAGAGCTTCTCATTAAGACTTAGAACCTCAACTTCTTACCTCACTCGAACACCATGAGTGAGCCCCATTCAGCCCTCAGGAGAAAGAGAGAAGTAGGGAGGCACGCTGAGGAAATGCCGTCCTTGTATTCCTTGAAGGCCAGCACCCAAACCTGGTGCAGCTGAAGTGGGGCCCTCTAAATATGGAGCCTTTGCTGGCACACACAGAAAAGTGCTTTGTGTCTACAGGATTCACTGCTCTGAAGTAAGAAAGGGCCCTTCCTTTTGCTTTCCTTTGAATTCTGTGTTTTCAGTCATGAGTATTTAATAGACTGATTTTGTCTCAGTATTCAAAAGGTAAAATAGCTCATTTGAAAGAACATAGAGCTGAAGCCAAATGAACTTATGGAGGAGTTGGAGGGTAGAATCTTCTCAGTTGTTGCCCACGTGGACCTGAGATTCAGTCAGACTCCTAACATTTGAAGGCTGTGGAGATTCTGCACACTCTGGCAAAGAAGCAAGTTTGGTAGAGCGCCTGTAGGACTGGCCCAAGTCCCTGTGGCTCTGGAGACCTCTGCTCTTCCCAGTACACCCACTGTGGCCTTGTCGAAGCTTTTCAGTATACAATATGAGTTCACCTGGACATTTAGCAATGATAAACTGGAGTTGCTCTCAACTGAAGAACATTTCGTATCAGCTGTGGCAAAATCCTGAGATAATTACTGCATTACCTTGTCAAAATAACAATCAGCTTGTCATAAAAATGTCAAACACAGTGCTGTATTTTTTGAACTAAAATTAAGTAAAGAATAATGTTACGGTCTGAATGTTTGCATTCCTGCCAGATTCACGTGCTGAAATGTGACCAGTGTGATGGTATGTAGGGGTGGGTATTTTGTGAGGTGATTTGTTCATGAAGATGGGGTTCTTACGAAGGGGGCTAGTGCCCTTATAAAATAGGCCCCAGAGACCTCTCTCACTCCTTTTGTCCCGTAAAGACACAGGGGAGTCTTCTGAGAGACTCACTAGACATCAAACCCTCTAGCACCTTGATCTGGGATTTCCTGTCTTCTAGAACTATAAGAAATAAATATTCGCATATCAACCACTCAGTCTGTGATATCAATTAAGATAAATTTACAAGTAACTCCCAACTCAGAGCCAGGTGTGCACAGCCTATAGAACGAGCACTCTGCTGTGGCTAAAGTTGGGGGGATGCTGAGGCCAGTGGCTGGCTAAGGCCTTTCGCTCGCTGAGCACAAACCAGGACTAGAGGTGGAGACTGAGCACTGCCTGCGTTGGTGCCACGAGTCAGACCGGGAACCCACAGAGAGAGGAGCAGCAGCTGGGGTAGGCTGACATCAGGAATTCTCTCTTACACCTTAGTTTGAAGTGCCTCTTTCAACAAATCCAGTACCTAGTAGGTAGAAGTACTGGTTCCAGAAAATACTCAAAGAGTGCAAAATTGACATAAAAATTCTGTGTAAAACAGAATTTGCTAGAATAACATGGCTGAGACAAAGCAGAACCGACTATAGAGTTTGCAAAATCTTTCTTCTTCCCATTAGCAGATGGTAGCAACAGCTAACTCACAATAGTTTAAAAATCATCTCTTTTTACCTCTGAATAAGAGAAACACATGTAGGGAAATTGACAGGCCTTTTAAATTCACAGCGTATAATTTCTCTCATATTGGTAATTGACAGGAAGAGATCCCCAGTAAAGTTGTAAGTTCATTTCCAGCTCTCACATCATAGTGGGTTAGAAGGTGATGGTAGCCCAATAGTGGCACACTGTATGTGTGTGTGGGTGTGGGTGTGGGTGTGTGTGTGGACAACAGAAACTATGTCCCTGAAGCTTGACGACTTGGGACAAAGCAGTGGAGAGGTGGAGGAGGCTTGAGAGGAGAGGGGTGAGCAAACAGGCATTGCATTGCACATTTTATGGGCAAAAAGAAATTGGAGCATTGAGTGATTTTAGAAACAATGTGCCAGACACAGATGGTTTCAACACAGAGCAACATTTAGAATCAATAATGCCAGATTAGCCACATGATTTATATAAAACCAAGCACTACAGTTTTTATATTATCTTGAGAGGAGAAACAATTTTTGTTCAGCATCCAAAGGCAGAAAATAACTCTCCAGCTGTATGCTGGCAAAAATTTGAATAACTGGCAAGAAATGTCATGTTAGGAAAATCTCCTTTCAATGGAAGCTAATAATACAATATTTTGCAAGGAATACTCTGGTAAACAGCTGACTAACGAAAGACCAGATTAACAAGCTCATGAGTAGTAAATATAAAAGTTGTTTACCACAGTTTAAAAAAGCACGATGCATCACTGACGCTGGCCAAACGGCCACCAAGTGTCCCGACTCTGACCTTGCCCTCGTGGGCACGTACCCACGTTCCCACTACCTACACTCGAAACGATGTCCTCTTCATAGACAATGCAGAGGTCTGTTTGTGTCTGAGGGATCTGACCTCACTGTTGCTGATAAACTGGAAATTTCCTTTCCCCACTACCCCCTCAAGGGCTGCATGGAGAACTAGGTAAGATTCAACACCAGAGCAGCTGCTCAGGGCTGGTTTTCGTGGAGACAGAGGTGAGTCCAGGGCATTTTTGCCTGGGCATTTGCATGGCCATTTTGTCACAGGTTTTGCTTTCTGAGAACAGGGTAGGGTGGCTTTCTGTGTTTCTTTCTTCTCAGTGCCCCAGGAATGCTCAGCTGACTGCTGACTGCTAGGCTATTTGTTATTTTTTCTTGCTGAATTTAAGGAGACACCCCATTGGGGAGGCCACACTCACAGGGTCTTAACGCTTAGCTGTAAAATTGCCCAACAGGATTTGAGGAGCTGCCAGCCAAGTTTTGTTTGGCCCACTGAGAGAACTGCATCACTGAGTGAAGCTGCTCATGAAACATACCGATCAGAAATAACCAGGTCTGAGTCTCCAGGGATGGCTGACCCAAGAGTAATGTACTGTGTCTCTGATTACAGAGCCCACCTAGTTCTAATTCTTATTTCACTGAAGAAGAGCATTACCATCTGCTTGCAAGAGTAAGGGATTCTCCGCAACCACCTCCTCCCGCCCTCCCGGGATGGGACACAAGTCGTTTCTAAAACCACTCAATTCTCCTAGTTCTTATTGCCCATAAAATGTGCAATGCAATGCCTGTTTGCTTGCCCCTCTGCTTACAAGCCTCCTCCTTTCCACTGTTTTGTCCCAAGGAGTCACGGTTCAGGGACCTAGCTTTTCCTTGAAAAGTTCATGTGACTATTTCTAAATGGAGTATTTGCTTCCAAATTGTGTATGTCCTGCTCCAAAGGAGCAGGTTCAGGCAGCTCCTCTGCGCACCTGTGCCTGTACAGGTGCTTCTTTCCACCTGCTCTCCCTCTGCGGGGCAGCAGCCTCCTGCCTGCCCGTGACCTGTGCCCTGCTGGGGCTTCTCTGCACTGACCTCCCTCAGCAGAGGCCGCTCTCCTAGACAGTCCTCCTGCGGTCACGCAGGCCTCTCTCCGCAAAGCTGTCCCTTTCGGGTAGCGCTTCCTGCCTGCTTGTGCCTAGGCAAGTGTCCTTTTCTCTCCTGTCCCTTTCCCTAATAACCTGTTCTTTAATACATGTTTTATATAAAGAGTAGGTTCAACAGTCACCAACGATATTCTTCATGGACTGTGTTCCCTCCCTCATGTCAGAAGAACCTTAAAAAGGGAAGCGATGCCTCAGAATTGCCATTCTCACAGCAAAGGATGCCATTTTCAGAAACGACAGTTCCAGCAGAATTCCATTGGCAGGACACAATGATAAATATAAACACTTTAATCCTCAAAACAAAGGCATGTGCAAGTGATACAGTAGGGGTTGCTTGGAGAAGAAGTGCCCAGGAGCCGGGCAAGGGAGGCTAGCACAGAGGATAAGATTTGCCCACAGTCGCGTATCACAAGACTCTGGCCTGGCTCTCCAAGCCTGCCTTGGCCAGATTTCTCAACGCATTGCTAGGTAGTGCTGAGCGCTTTCACAGCATGCTTCAGATGTGACTGCATGCACTATCACAGTTCTCGCAGGAAAGCTGTTAATCATTTAACATCTGCATAACTATTAGCAAGAGGTGAGATTGTCTTTGCACATAGACTTAACCTAGCTGATGGC